ATTGTTTTCAGACTACAGTCTCAAATGAGAAAAATCATCAATGTATAACATCCCAGTACTCTAATTTATGGCCAAGAGTCCTTTTTTTGAAGCCAACTAGACTTTCCACATTAACATTCCAGAAATATCCCTGCCCCCATGCTTTGACTAGAAAAGCCTTCTTATCCTTCAAGGCCCAGCTCAAATGTCACCTCCTTTATGAAGTCATCCCTAGCCCTTCAGGCAGAATTAATTGATCCTCCTCTGTGCTTCCACAGCACTTTACATTAGTATTGCTAGCATAGCTCTTACTATATTGTTTTTGGTAAATGCATAAGTAAAGTCCTTGAGATCAGAGACCTGTCTTATTCATAAATCCCTTTATTTCTATATCCCCATGAAGGAGTACCGGGGATTGAACCCAGGAGTGCTTAACCACTAATCCACATCCCCAGCCCTTATTATATTTTATTCAGAGACAGGGTCTCGCTGAGTTACTTAGGGTCTCACAAAATTGCTGAGGCTGGCTTTGAATTCATGATCCTCCCGCCTCAGCCTCCCAATCTGCTGGAATTATAGGCATTAAAGGTGTCAGAGAGAGGGAGAGACCCTGTGAACAGCAGCTCTGACCACTAAACACAGGAGACACTATCTTGGTACTCAGTATGGGAGGAGGGTATACCTACAATACATGGTACCACCGTGTCTAGCAACCTACATCCCTATATTTATCACATATAAAACTACATCAATTATAAGATACACCATTATTTATAGAACTACTAATTTAAAAGACACTAACAAGAATACTATGACATACCATCAATTTGAAGATGTGTCCCAAATTCAGGAATGTCAAAATGTTGGGGAAAAAAGACATGTATTAGAAGTAATGAGTTACAATAATAAATGTTCAGCAAATGTTTGTAAAACTGCAACCCAAGGTGGAGCAAATCCTCCTAAAGCCCTCTGACAGCCTAGGTTTCTGCAGTAGAGAATTAGAAGTTGGTGGTGGATAGTGTGTGGTTACATTGCTGACTTCTAATAGTTTATCCAACAGTTAAAGGGATTAGTGGCCTGATGTGCCATCCTTATTAAAAAAAAAAACAAAAACAAAACCAAAAACATCCATGTCTCCCACTCAATATATTAAAAGGCCCAATGATAATATATTCCAATCAAAATTGGGAAGGGACACAGAATGTGACAAGTGGGAGTAAGAACAGAGACAATGGGTAGGGTATTTATGTTTGCCTTGATTCTGGTTCTTTAAGGCAGTTCAACCCGTTGCTGTTCACATCTGCCCATGAAGAGGAACATGAACTTTCCAACTTTCTCCCAGCTTATTTTAGACCCGCTTTTATTTATTTATTTTTAAATAAATTTTTTAGTTATAGACACAATACCTTTATTTTACTTATTTATTTTTATGCAGTGCTGAGGATCAAACCCAGTGCCTCACATGTGCTAGACAAGCATTCTGCCACTAAGCCATAACCTCAGCCCCCTGCTTTTATTTTTATGTGACTCCTTTTCAGATACAAACTGTTAGCTTTGTGGCTTTGGCTTCCCTTTCTCTGTGGCCCTCTGGAGTTGGTGACTGTATAATGTATCCCTGGCCAGTTTCTATACCTAGGCTTTCTGTAGGGGCTTTCTGAATCTCAGTATCCCAGGCATCTCATTAAAAATCTGTGTTCCAAGGCTGGGGTTGTGGCTCAGTGGTAGAGCACTTGCCTAGCATGTGTGAGGCCGTGGGTTCAATCCTCAGCACCACATGAAAACAAATAAATAATATAAAGGTATTGTGTTCGTCTACAATTAAAAAAAAAAAAGAGTCTATATTCCAGCTGGGTGTGGTGGCACATGCCTATAATCCCAGTGGCTCGGGAGGCTGAGGAAGGAGGTTCGTGAGTTCAAGGGCAGCCTCAGCAACTTACAAAGGCTCCAAACAACTCAGCTAGACCCTGGCTCTGAATAAAATATAAAAAAGGGCTGGGGATGTGGGTCAATAGTGATGCACCCCATGGTTCAATCCCCAGTACCAAAAAAAAAAAAAAAAAAAGAATCTATATTCCATTTCCATCTAGGTTTCCTAACCCTAAAGCTGGGCTAAAGTATGAACTTTTCTTGTCTGAATTTCCCTCTGCCACACTTCTGCCACCCCCATACCAAGTGCACACTTGTGAAAGATAAAGCTAATTGCCACTGAAAACCTTAAGCAGAAATTCTCCTAGAGTGAAAGCTCCGAAATGCCGGGTGCATTGGCCCACACCTATAATTCCTGCAGCTCCAGAGGCTGAAGGAGGAGGATCACAAGTTTGACACCAGCTTCAGCAACTTAGTGAGGCTGTAAGCAACTTAGGGACAACCTGTATCAAAATAAAAAAGTAAAAGGACTGGGTATGTGGCTCAGTAGTTCAGTCACCATATGCCCCCCATATATATTTTTTTCAAACTATTAGGGCTGGGATGTAGCTCAGCAGTAGAACACCTAGCATTAGTGAGGCCCTGGGTATGATCCCCAACACCGTAAAAAGAATTATATTGAGAATATCAAACCTAGTGGCTTAATACAATGTGAACTATTTTTAAACACATAAGCACCTCTGCACACTAGCATCCAGGGGAAGAGAGTCTTTTTGTTTGTTTGTTTGTTTGTTTGTTTGTTTTTGTGGTGCTGGGGATTGAACACAGGGCCTTGTGCATGCAAGGCAAGCACTCTACCAACTGAGCTACATCCCCAACTATTTGTATGATTTTAATTAATTTTTTATTTATACATGACACCAGAATGAATTACAATTCATATTACACGTATAGAGCACAATTTTTCATATCTCTGGTTGTATACAAAGTATACTCACACCAATTTGTGTCTTCATACATGTACTTTGGATAATAATGACCATCACATTCCACCATCATTTCTAACCCCCTGCCCCCTCCCTTCCCCTGCCATCCCTCTGCCCTATCTAGAGCTCGTCTATTCCTCCCATGCTCCCCCTCCTTGTTTTTTGTTTTTTAAATATTTATTTTTAGGTGTAGTTGGACACAATAACTTTATTTATTTTTATGTGGTGTTGAGGATCGAACCCAGTGCCTCACACATGCTAGGAAAGCACTCTACCACAACCTCAACTCCAGAAGGAGAGTCTTTAGGGGGCAAGGGCAAAGGGATAATTTTAAGGGGACAATAAGGAAGAGAATCATATAGGGCAAAAAGTTCCTAGTTTGCTTTTGTGCCTAGACCCTTGCAGGGAAGCCAGTGACCACCAAAAACCTGAAAATCATCTCCCCCTTTGAGGCAGGCTGCTGGAGCCTGTGTTAAGTTGATCAGGATTAGGTCAGAAAGCTCCAAAGATTATCATCTTCCAATTTAGTCCAGACTTCCCAGGCCAGCCAAGCCCCATTCGGCCTCCAGGTCAGCATACTAGCATTCAAGGAAGGACAGTCTCCATGCAGTGCTTTCCCTGATCTCAATGAATAGAGAAAGGAGAAAGGAGGAGAAAAGGCATCATTTACTCACTCCACTGATTTATTGACACAGTAGTTGGAGATTTTCAAACTATAAAAAGAGCCTGCTTGGGGGCTGGGGTTGTGGCTCAGGGGTAGAGTACTCACCTAGCATGCGTGAGGCACTGGGTTTGATCCTGAGCAGTACATAAAAATAAAATAAAGGCATTGTGTACACCTATAACTAAAAAAATAAATATTTTTTTAAAAGAGCCTGCTTATATTTTCTTGGCAAAATAGATCCTTGAAGTATAAGAACTGAATGCACCTGCCAGGTGTGGTGGCACATGACTGTAATCTCAGTGGCTCAGAAGGCTGAGACAGGAGGATCACAAGTTCAAAGCCAGTCTCGGCAACATTGAGGCACTAAGCAACTTGGTGAGACCCTGTCTCTAACTAAAATACAAAATAGGGCTGGGGATGTGGCTCAGTGGCCAAGTGCCCCTGAGTTCAATCCCTGGTACCAAAAAATGAATTGAATGTACCAGATATGGTGGGAATTTTACTTTGTCACAGCTATAGTTACACTTGCAAATAAAATCATTGAGGTGAAATCACGGAACATTAAAACTGAACAGAAACTTTAAGAGAGACAGAATGTGTCTCAATGTATTGTCCAGCCTAGCCACAAACTCCTGAGCTCAAGGGATCCTCCTGTATCAGCCTCCTGAGTAGCTGGGACTACAGATCTATGCTAACATGTGCAGCTCTGAAAAAAAATCATGATGAAAGATCTCAACTCCCTCATTTTACAAATGAGAACTTTATGGCCTAGGAGGTTAATTAGTTGATGGGAGAACAAGCACTAGAATCAATGTGTCTCACTCCCAGTTTGGGGATTTTCCCTTTTGGAAAGATACCCAAACTCTTACAATTGTATCCCACCCTCATAATCTGTGATTACATTTGGTTCATTTGGCTAAAAATACCATGCCAATGGAGCTCCAAGTATAAGAAATCTTGATGATTAGTACAAACAAATGTAAAGAATCAGCTGACCATCATTTCCACCAAAGGGCAGAGGCAGTACATTTGTAGTCTTCATAAGTATAAAACAAAATATCATTGCCTGGGCCCCTTACAGGGCTGGATGACTATATAAATCAAGCTAGCTCATTGAAAACTTATCTAGATGACATCCAACATCTTTCACTGTAGTCTGGGTCTGGTGATAGAAGCTGAGCAAGGACATTTCCTCCTGGTGGAATTTCGGAAGAACTGTGTAAACAACGCCCCTTGCTGGTCAACATGAGATAATGCAAGAGCCACTAGCTGAAAAAGCAGGGCTCTAGCAAAGGTCACAGCAATGTCTCTCAGTCTTCTAGTCTATGGGAACCATGTCCAGGTCAAAGGAGAAAGCATGGAAAACAGCAGGAGGGAGAAAAAAACTGCATTTTTTCCTGAGATGTTTACATGTGCCTAATTAAGGTTAGACCCCAAAGAAAGCAGATACATTTTTGGTATCCCATTGAGTTTGAACAGGCAACTAAGAGACTCACAGACATATGTTATGCTTATACATATAAACAATATTTTTATTGTTAACATCAATGAACACAGATGGGAGAATATCCATGTGCCAAGGACATATTGCTCACAGGATCAAAAATGACTGTTGATTTGTATTCATAATTGATCTGGTGAATTACTATGTGTTTTTGACTCAAATATAGATATATATGTATATATATTTATGGATATACAAAAGAAATTTCTTAGGCTTCATTTCCATTTGTATTCTCGAAATCACTTCATTAGAAAGAGAAAGCAGAAACTTTGAAATGAACATCTATGTTTTACAGATATTTTGATGCAGCAAAAGTGAAAATTACATCCCATTACATACATTTTAAGTAGTATACAAAGATAGCATAATAATCATTGATTTGGCTCAATAACTTGCTTAATGAAAGGCTTTTTTTTAACTTTAAAAAAAATCTCCAGTAAAGTGGTTAAGGGTGTCTGGTGACCTTATCACGGTAGCAAAGTGTTTTCTAAGCAATTCCAGGGCTTTGTTATTTCTTGCTTGCAGGGTCTTCTCAGCTCTCAGTTCATTCTTGATGGCATCCAGCTCTCCACGGATCTTGTCCATTTCTAATTCATAATACAATTTCATTTCTTCTTTTAGGAGAGCATTTCCTATTTCAGTTTGACGCTTTAATTTCCTAACAGCTTCTTTTAAATTTCTGTTCTCTAGGTTCAAGTTGTGGATAACTTCTTTGGCTTGCTGGAGCTCCTCAGTTAAGTTTTTTACATCTGTCGCTTTTTCGGATAGGTCATTTTTTAAAGCTTGAAGTTCCCTGTCATTCTTCAAAGTATCTGTCCCTGTCTCTTGAAAATTTAGGGATTTCACAGAAACTTCTTTCTTGGAGTTCAAAAGTTCTTTTTCAGCATTTTCAAATTCCTCTTCTATTTTTCTGCATTTCATATTAAGTTCTTCTAGTTCTTCATTTAAAAGGTTCAGGCGAAGTTTTGGAGACATTCCTTCAGTTACTTTCTTCCTTGGGGCTTGTCGTGGTATGATTGGTAAATCTTCTTTACTCCAGGCACAGGAGTCTTCTATTCTGTTTAAGCTTTCTTCCGATACAACATCCAAATTAAATGATTCACTGGAGACAGACTTTATGTCTGGCTCATTCTTTGACATGTTTATCCTTCTCTCTCTTAAATTTGGTTCTTGTTCTCTTTCATTTAGTTGAGAAACATATTCTTTCCTCTTAAATTTATTTTCTTCCTGAAACTTTCTACTGGACAGATTATAATTTCCTTCCATTCTCTTGGTGTTATCTACAACTATTGGTTCACTGGAAGATTCAGTGTTAGAAGCCTCTTCTAGAACATCCTGTGCGCTAAAATGATGAGTAAACATATTCTCCTTCCAGTGTTTTCTTCTAGCATCCATTTCTTTAGGCACCTTTTCCAATTCCTGAAAAACAGAATTTAAAATCAAGGCACATTACTTACACTGCTGTAGAAAGAAATAAGTAAGGATGCTGGTTCACAGGCAAAGGAACTTAACCATTTGAGAGCTGGCCCTCTAACTCACAGAGTGACTATGACCTCAGTTTTCTCAATTACCAATAAAAATGGCCGAACAAGCTAAGTTCTACAGACTCTTTTTTAAGATTTCGGTATTTTTGCTTAGAGTTACATATCAGTTTTACTTTTCTCTTTTTAAATTTAAAACCAACAGTAATAAAGTTTCCAATATTTTAACAAAAACAAAATAATACAAAAATCAATCAAGAATGTATTTTAAAATTAATGGAACACAAATACATTTTACAATTGATTATTAAAATCTTTTTCCATGGTTTCAGCTTGCAAGGGTTATTTCTACAGTATGAAACACTATGCAAACTGATGACAGATTTTATTATACACCCAACCATCTAATCAGCAGGTATTTTTCTATAACAGCATTATATTTTGTGTGAAAGCTCTTTTAGAGACCTTCTGGTTATATCATAAATCCATATTACTCAGCTACACCTATTTATTCAAAGAGAAATTTATAATAGTTTGGAATAATTTGAGCTCATTTAGGGCAAAATTATTTCTCTAACCCCTATGACACTATACATTCAAACACTAATTTGAATTTACCAATAATGGCACCATGATACTTCACTTTTGTCCTTCTTTGTAGTCACTTGAAAAAATATAAATTTTTAAGAGTGCAGAAATTAAATCTCAAAATATATACTATATCTTAATTTTTATTTTGGTAAAAGAATAGACTCTGGGAAGAAGTTTATCTGTATTTCCCAGGATACATTAATGTAACTAAAAACTGCTAATTCCATACTTTTGTTTTCTGTGTAATGCTACTTACATTTTGTTCACTTTATTACCATTGTTTCTGGTCTAGATTTAACTTTACCTTGCTTCTGTAAAATAGTTTGAGAAAAATTTTCTAACAGTCATAGCATTTCTTCATCTCAGTATCCCTGTAGTTAACTGCCTGTAACAGATTCACTCTTTCATACTATACTATCTGAAAATTAGAGCCTCTACAGACCCTTTTAACTTTAAAATTTTTCTACCATATGAAATATAACCAGTGAATTGATACATCTAGCTACTTATTGTAAATGAAGTGATTCTATGAAGAAGCAACTGTACACATAAAAAGACTGCCTTCAAATAATAAGTAATGTGAAATTAATAGGCTAAATAGTTAGCACCCATGCTTTCAATATATCTGATTTTCTCAAGTACTTTTGGATGGGACTACTATTTACTCATTCCTTAAGGTGACTAAAACATCAGGTTTTAATGCAATGTGAGCTACTTTGGGTATAGTATACCATGCAGACTTCCTTAAGATTAACTCTGCCAAATGCCCTTCTGTCTTGACCTATAAATTCCTGCTATTCCAGTCTTGGGCTTTGCTTTCAGGCAACAATGCCAAGTGTACAGAATTCTATCTGTTTTGACAGCAATTTCATGATGAGAACCTAATGTCAACATTTGAAAATATTAATGCCATCACATGTATTTTCTCAAGATATTGACTCTGAGTATAGTTTTTAGGTGAAAGCTTAGCATATTAAGTGACAACCAACGTCCTTATAAAAATTAACAGATAATTATTTTGTTTCATAAGGAGTCTTTCCTACTCAAATGGAATCTTTAATGTACAGTTTTCCTAATACACTGAAATATTTGATCAGTAACTACCTCAGAGGGAAGAGAGAAAGAAGGACCCAAGCATCTCAATCCACCAAATGGATAACTGCAGCTACCCAAAAATAGTAAGGAGAAGGAGGGAGTCACTTTGTTCATTTTATATACTGACCAGCCCCCACCACACACACACACACACACACACACACACACACACACACACACATATATATAAAATCACCACTGAGAAAAATCCAAGTATGTTTGCATCTTTTTAAAAAAATATTTCTTTAGTTGTAGATGGACATGATATCTTTATTTAATTAATTAATTTATTTTTATGGGTGCTGAGGATTGAACCCAGTGCCTTATACATGTGAGGTAAGTACTCAACCACTGAGCCACAACCCCAGCCCCTGCCTACATCTCTTTTATCCATGCATGCAAATGTCATTTTATTTTCTTCTGGTAATGAAAAATGGCAAATGTATTTATTTTTAAATTAATATTGTCTTTCGTTATTTGTAGCAATTTTGGAAAACATAGAAAAGCACATGGGTGTGTACATCCATGGGCCCACACACATGGAATCGTCCCATGGCCCTGAGTAAATGATTTTTTGGTGTATTATCTCTCATCTATTCTTTTTCAGCCCCGAAGTTTAAATAACAGGTTTGCCCTACTATTGGCAATGAATGAATAAACTTGATACATACAGATATTGAATATGCCCCCTCCCTTCCACCCTCACACACAAACAAAGAGAATGAAGGGACTCACTATCGCAAGGGTGCATCTGTACTTGGCTTTCAGGAAAAGGAAAGATAAAAATATTCTTAAAATAAACTCTTTAGAGATGAAAAATTCAGTGAAGATATTAAAATTATTATGAAAAAGGCATAAACCAAGCTCTATTAAAGTTTAGTCAATCAGAGCTGAGGTTGTAGCTCAGCAGTAGAGCAATTGCCTAACATGTGTGAGGCCTAGGTTTCATCCCCAGCACCACACACACACACACACACACACACACACAAGTTCAGTCAATCAGGACTGGGGATGTAGCTCAGTGGGAGAACTCTTGCCTTCATATGTGAGGCCCTGGGTTCCATCCCTAGCAATACACACACACACACACACACACACATTTATTCAACCAGACTATAGTGATTAACTCAGACGTGAAATTTGTGGTATATATTTGCCATTGGAACATCATCTCCTTTTTCTTGAAATAGTCCTTTCTGACTTTTATTATTCTACCAGTCACAATCCAGAAGCATCTTTGATCCATTTTTTTTTTTCTGGTACCAGGGATTGATCCCAGGGGCACTTAACCACTGAGCTACATCCCCAGCCCTTTTTCATATTTTATTAGAGACAGGGTCTCTCTGAGTTGCCTAAGGCCCCGCTAATTTGCTGAGGCTGAGTGTGAACTCTCGATCCCTCTGTCTCAGCTTCCTGAGTCCCTGGGATTCCAGGCATGAGCCACCATGTCTGGTTCTATCTGTTCTTAAAGGAGAAGATTATCATTAATTCTGGCTTCCATTCTTTATAGAAGTAAGAATACAGATTATTAACAGCAATCATGAAGGAAAGGGACAGAGACAGGAGAAATGAGTACAATGCTACTTGCCAGGCACATTTTTTTTAGCAGGCAAATTTTTACCACACAATTCTGTAAAAAAGCAAAAATAGTGCTAATCCAGTAACAATAGCAGAGAGATTCTTATTCCTCTTACTTAATTCTGGATGAAAGACATTGGTGGGACTGATCAGGAAGCAAGAGAGCACAGGGCCAAGTCGGGTGAGACCACTTACTTTATACCTGGAGATAGCAGTAATAAAACATCTGAGATAGACATCTGGGTATAGATAGAAGTTAACATAGAAAACTCTCTTCATTAATAATTTTGCTCCTTGAAAAAGTGGCATCTCTGTTCACCCTTTCCACAAATCTCTGGAGACACACACATACACACCCTTTTTGATTTTTACTGGCTTTCCTTCTTGAGCCTTATAGAATTTCCAGGGTGTCTGAAAGGAAATGCTTCCAATGAATCCTATACAGCCAGGGATTTTCAAAGGACTGGGGAGAGTCATTTTGTAACGGAGTCTCAGAGAAATTAAATGACTAGACCAAGGTCACACAGCCTGTGGTGGTAAATCTTAAGTCCTGTCTCCAGCTCAGTGCTTATTTTAAGTTCCTCTTTACTCATCTGCTAGGTTTCATTCCACAAACTGAAAGAAAACAACCTACTACTTTTAGAGCTTAGGTATCTTTTTAAAAGCCACAAAAGGAAAGACAGAAAAGGAAGTGGGGAGGGTAAGGAGAACTGCATGTTTCACATCAAAGGATAGAAAGAGAAAGGTTTGAAAAGCCTTTTGGAATTTCTCTCCTATGGTTTACACAGGATAAGGTCAAGGGGTCTCTAAGCTGCTCCTCTCTCAACTGCTTTCTTTCATTGGCAAGATACCCTTTAAGGACTTGTTCACAAATTTAGTCAAGAGTATCACAAAGTCCAGAGTGGGGTAAAAGCTGCCAGTCACATTCATGTTCTCCCTCTGTCTCTCTCTCTTTCTTAGTTCTGGGGATTGAACCCAGGAACATTATACCTCTGAGCTACATCCCTAGCCCTTTATTTTTTATTTTATTTTGAGACAGGGTCTTGCTAAGTTACCCAGGTAGCCTCAAACTTGTGATCCTCCTGCCTCAGCCTCCAGAGTAACTGGAATTACAGGCATGCACCACAAAGCCTGGCCTCATTTCTCTTCACCAACTGCACTGTTTTATTTTTTATGCAGAACAAGTATGTAATTAATACTCTCTGGCAAGGACAAGGAATATGCTTTGGAATAATGACTTTCTTCTACCCTGGTCTGGCAGCCATATTTTTCCTCAATAAACTTGACTAGGTAATTTGTTGCAGCTGAAGTCAAACCAAACCAGAAGCCATAATTGAAACTGTAGCCAGGCCTGGTGGTGCACACCTGTAATCCCAGCAGCTCAGGAGGCTGAGGCAGGATGATCAGGAGTTCAAAGCAGCCCCAGAAATTTATCAAGGCCCTAAGAAACTCAGCAAGACTCTAAGAAACTCAGCAAGACCCTGTCTCTAAGTAAAATATAAAAACGGGGCTGAGGGGCTGGGGTTGTGGGCAGTGATAGAGCGCTTACCTCAAACATTTGAGGCACTGGGTTTGATCCTCAGCACCACATAAAAATAAATAAATATATATATATATTTTTAAAAAGGGGGGCTGGGGATGTGGCTCAGTGGTTAAGCATCCCCTGGGTTCAATCCCTAGTATCAAAAAAAAAAAGTAAGTATAAACACCTTTTTAGCTAGGCAGTTGTGAACATTTGATATTGTAAGTGTCTACATTGAGGCCCAAAGAAAGGAATGGTATGGGAAGGAGGCCCAAGAGAAAAAAAAAATGAAGAAACAAAACAGAACAGAGAGAAAAACTACATAAAATTAGGGCTGGGGTTGTGGCTCAGGGGTAGAGCTCTTGCCTAGTATGTGTGAGGCACTGGGTCTGAGTCTCAGCACCATATATAAATAAATAAATAAAATAAAGGTCCATCAATGACTAAAAGAAATTTAAAAATACATATAAAATCACATGACAAAAATAAATGAGTGGTTTTCTAAGAAAGTAATCCCCCTAAAGTCCTTGGGACTGCACAATTAAGGTAAGGCATGGGTGTCTATAATATAACTACAATTATTCATTTGTGTCTGACATGAATTATTAATAAACTTCTGATGGTTCCTATTAGCATGTCACTGGAAACAACGTCATTTATTTTCTGGTGACCTTTTTTTTTGGATTAAACCCAGGGCACCTAACCACTGAGCTACGTCCCCAGCCTTTTTTGTATTTTATTTAGAGACAGGTCTCAGTGAGTTGCTTAAAGCCTTACTAAGTTGCTGAGGCTGGCTTTGAAACTTCAATCCTCCTGCCTCAGCGTCTCAAGCCACTGGGGTTATAGGCATATGCTGCCATGCCTGGCTCTCTGGTGACCTTTTTTTTATTATTGATTTTATTTTTTAAATACAAGACAGTAGAATGCATTACAATTCTTATTATACATATAGAGCACAATTTTTCATATCTTTTGTATATAAAGTATGTTCACACCAATTCATATCTTTATACATGTACTTTGTTTTTTTGTATTAAAATTTTTATTACACATATATACCACAATTTTTCATATCTCTGTTTGTATATAAAGTAGGTTGACACCCAATTCAAGCCTTTATACATGTACTTTGGATAATGATGTCCATTACATTCCACCATCCTTGCTAATCCTCTGGTGACCTTTTTATGCAGTGGCAAAAAGTTAGGACATTTTTGTGGAGTAGGGGATCTCTTGTTACATGAAGGTGGTTTATATTTATCTAAGAATTTTATTCTGCCAGGTACAGTGGCACACACTTGAAATCCCAGTGGTTCAGGAGGCTGAGGCAGGAGGATCGTGAGTTTAAAACTAGCCTCACCAACTTAGTGAGTCCCTAAGTAACTTAGCAACTGTCTCTTGCTAAGATCTTGTCTCTAGATAAAATATTAAAAAGGGCTGGGGATGTTGCTTAGTAGTTAACAACAATTTAACACCGTGGTTAAATCCATGGTATCAAAACAAACAAACAAAAAAGAATTTGATTACTGGGGAGACTGAGGTAGGAGAATCACTTGCGCCCAGGAGTTCAGCAAAAAAATTTGGGAACCACTGAAAAAATTAATTTATAATGTAATGTGACGTAACATAATATAAATGTTGATAACTAAGCAGAGTGATAATTTATTATGAATCTTTAGGTATATCATTCCATAAAGATCTTAGGTGAACACATATCTATCCTCAATCAAATAGCTCTAGAAGATAATACACTACTGTTTATTGTAAAAGAAGAAATTCAAAAACCCATCTCACTTTCATTTTCAAAGCAGGGCCCAGGAGAGTATGTTCATATCAAGATGGGTATGAAATTTAAGTATTTGTTTTCTAAAATATTTATATTTTAAATCACATGCTTTAGAAAAATTTGCCGACATAAGTCAAAGATGTTCTCTCTGTTGCTTTATCCTATTTACCTTAGAATTTTGTTTCAAATTTTCAGGACTTTTTGTATAAATCTAGATCTGCCTGAAAAAAGGGATTGTTCTTCCAGGAAGAGGTAGGCAGGGACTGGGAAACAGCTCTGGAAGAACACAAAAGGCTTTTTTTTTTCACCTCATAGGGGTCCTTCCTCTTAAATTTTGTAAACTGGGAATAATAGTTGGAAAAGGTCATCTTCAATCCATGTTGAGCAACCTTCTGTCACTCTCCTCAGCCATTCAGCTGCCCTCAACTTAAGGTCTGGCTTTCATCCCTGCCCAGGGGCAATAAGGTAAAGACAAAGGGCTCCTCTCAGCCCAAGAAACTTTCTTCCTTTATTCTCAGATGGTTTCAGTTCTCTCCACCCTCAGAAAGACTGCTCAGCCAAAATAGGAAAAAAAAAAAAAACAACTGTGCTACAAATGAAGTCACCAGCCTTGTTCCTTTGCTCAGTTGTTCAGTTTTTTTTCCTAATTAAAAACAGTGGTTCTCAACCTTTTTTTCCCTGCTTCTGCGGCATGCTTCTACTGTTTCCAGGTACAGAACAGTGTCATTATTACCCTCTATCCTCAGAAGATTCTGATCTGGCCCCTCTAGGGGAACTTCCCCCTTCTTCACCCTATTCTGCTCACTTGAAAAAAAAAAAACATTAAATACCAAAATGAACACCCAAATTACTTTGTATGAAATAATTTTTTTCTTGGGCAGAATTGTGGGGACAAGGAAAAGGAAATACTTGAGAAAGGATAGAGAATGGATTATGGTGGACAAAAAGACAGAAGAGATTAGGTATCTTGGCTTTCACATTTTGAAACTAGTGAAGATCTACCTTCTGGAAGCCTCAGATTCTTCAGGTGTAAAATAGGGACAATATGCTTATTTCACAGGTGAATAAGATAAATGAATAAAAATAAAAATACAAAGAATTTTGTGGGTTTTTTTTTTTCTTGGTACCTAGGATTGAACCCAGGGGTGCTATCCACTGAGCAATATCCCCAGCCTTTTAAAAATATTTTATTTAGAGACAGGGTTGAGCTGAATTTCTTAGGCTCTTGCTAAATTGCTGCTCTGAACTCCTACCTCAGCCTCCCCAGCCATTGGGATTATATGCATGCATCATTGCACCTGGCTTGAAAATAGAAAGAATTTTAAAAATGTACTGTAAACAATGGGTTTTGTTTCTTTTAGCTTTTTCTTACCCTCCCTTCTATACAAACCAGTCATTTAAGCAAATTAACACATCTCCAAAGATTTGTGTTCCATAGTTGCCAAGCCTGAGGCTACCAAATCTCAGAAAAAAAGTTTGAAAAAATGTAGGTACTTGGTTGAAGTGTAGCTCAGTGGTAGAGCACACGAATAGCATATTACAAGGCCCTGGGTTCAATCCCCACCAACACACAGAAAATGTACTTACAATTAAAGTAAATAGTGGGACCTAAAGTCCAATTTTAAATTAATTTAATTCTCATCCCCATGGAAGAATTAGCCCTAACTCCTCTGTTAGTTGTTGACATCTCCAAATTTCTGAAGCTAAATTGATTCTGTCTAAGCAGAAAAGTGGTAGTCTTCCCTATAACCGAAGACATTCACATTCTCCATCAATTGCTTTCCCCAAGAACTTTCCAATCCCCCCACTCTTTTTTTTTTTTTTTTGGAGCCACAGATAATTTCTTTAAAATATTACAATTGGAATATTAATTTGAGGATTGTTGGCAAGAATTATTTTGCACTCTGAGTTTTTCCTGTGTTTTTAAAGCATTTCCTACAGACTTTTATTATATATACCCATACAGGATCACCTAACATCTTATCCATTTTGTGTCCCTGTAGTTACCCTCAATAAATATCTGTTGAAGGAATGTTCATTAATATTCTTCCTGAAAATTCTACAATGCTTTGATTTTTAATTGAGTTTTTTTAAAGTGCTTACAATTTCTCCTCTAGCTTATGACATTTGGGGGTGACTTTAGAGGGAAAGAACTTTAATTTTTCCCTTGAAGTTTATTTGGCTTTGCTAAAGTCTTCGGGGCATTTTTTTCTTTTATATTTTTATGAGGCCTTCTTGAAAGTGTACTGACAATGCAGATTGATGATGTGGTTAAAAGGTTGAAGTTTTATGTTGGGTAAGAGTCTGTGCTTCCGAACACACATACCAACATATCAGTCAACACAATTGTACTTACCCTATCTGAGGTCCAAGGTCTGTTACTGGATTTCCTCGTTGTCCTCCAGTTTGTACTGGAAAATAAATTCCACTCTCGTCACCATCATCAGAAAATATAATTAATCAGAATGCCCAAATCCATGTTTATATCTGAGATATATATTAAAGTAACCAGTGATCCACTAAAAATGTCATTTGGCCTATCTGCAATGTGATGCCAGACACTTAGAGGTAATTTCTCCTTTTAAGTTGCCCACCCATTTCCCCAACAATTATGTTACTAAATCTTCCTTCCCCAAGCAACACAAATTTGAAATGGGTCAAGATCATGGTGATATTTTATTCAACACAGTACCTCCTCAACTTCAGCATGTATTGAACAAATGAGCCACCAGTGGTGGAAACAGCAGTGGCATGCTTGTTATTAATGAGCATGCCACCAGCTACCCTTAGCAAAGGGCTGGAGCCTAGGCCTTGCCTGCCTCCCTCAGTGCAGTTAATTTGCAAACATTAAAAAGGGAAGTGATCCTGATTTTTGCTTTAATCTTTCAGGGTCCTAAAATAAGGGTCAAGTGGTCACTTCCCAGGACAAATTGTCTTCTCTATTGTTTGTAGATATGGAGAGGGAAGCAAAGTATCATTGAAAACTGGGCCCAGTGAACGGTTAGAACCCCCAATTATTCATTGTTAGTGTGAAATTATTCCTTCTGCAAGAAAAGATACAGAGTCACCTTAATTCCAAAGGCTGAGACTTTATTAGTATGGGAGTCACATTCTTGCTATAAAGCTGTATCTTTGTATGCATAGTTTGGGGGTTTTCTATGTGAATGGTTAACTGAAACTCCAGCCATCATTGCTTTCAGCGGAGAGAAGGTGGCTCAGATCGGGGTGCTACTGGAACCCCCCACTGCAGGTGGTACTTTTTACCTCCCCAGTCCCGACTCTGTCGCTGGTGGGCGGCCCGAAACGGTTGACCCCACTCCTTTTTCCACATTCCCACTCCCACGCCCCGTTCCTTTTCCTTCCGAACGCTCTCCAGCTCTGGCTGGGGCTCTAAAGAGAGAGAGAAAAAAAATCTACAGCGGGGTCTTCCTTGGCTGCCCGCCCTCTTGCACCCCGAGCCAGAGAAAAAGAGGGGCGAACCCGGGCGGGCTTTCCCGTCCGCAGACATACCTGGAACCGTGGGTGCGGTCTGGGGAGTCCTGTCCCCTCTTCCCCGAAGCCGGGCACCACCAGCAGGCGGCAGCCCCTCGTTCGGTGTTGGCCACCGCGACCCGGCCGGGCCGGCTCGGGGCAGAGTCTCCGCAGTGCAGCGCCAGCGCGGACCGCACTGTTGCCTGGCAACCAGCCGGCCTGATTTAAAGGGACCAGGGCACTGGGGACGCGCTCCACAGGCCAGTACTGCCTGTCCCGCAGTCAAAGCTCCACCAGAGCGCTGAGCATGCCTGGTGGGACCGGCACCGCGGCGGCTTCTGCCTGGCAAGAAATAGTAACTCACCGGGAGAGGCAGCTGAGTCAGGATGGGAAGGGGCAAGCAACTACAAGGCAACCCCACCCACAAGTGGGGTTATTACGGAGGGTCTGGGTGACTCACAAAGCCACCTGGACGCTGACTGTAGCGGAGCAGAGAGGGAGTGGCATAGGGTTAATCCCTGGACTTGTTTGTAAGGTGACATTATGGAGGCTCATTATGAAGGTCAATTGGATTTGGTTCAGGATTCCTCACAATGTGGGAATTGCACTCTACCCCACCCCCATCTCCATGTAAACTCTTGCAGGTCAGTGCGCAGTGGCTTAGCCAGAATTTCTGCCTGGGGCCAAGGTCCTAAGGACAGCATTTTCCCCTGACTGTGCCCTTCTGGGAGATTGGGCTTGTTTCTCAGTCCATGGTTCTCATCTATTACTCAAGAATGTCTGTAAACCACTCTTGAACCTACTTGAAATTTAAACCTGTTGGGGACAAATAACTACTGGCAGTGTAAAATTGTTACCATTTATCCATCTCCCGAATACTCTCTTTTTGCTTTCAAACTTGCTTTCAACTCCCAGGATTTCGTTGGGTGATAAGCCCACATTTTTCATTGTATTCTACATTTCAGTCATATTTTGTTGACTAAATAAATGATCTTCTCTAACTTTGATTAGCCTGGTTACTTAATATGGATTCTTTGGTCATGACGGTGAGCCTGGCCAAAGTTGTGGGGCTGGGGTATCTGAAATAGTAATAATAAGAGTGATTCTTGGGAAAGGTAGTATTTTTCTAGGAAGTGTGAGGATGAAAGGAAATATTGGCTCTGTGATCTCAAGTGAAAGGAGGTTTAAGCACATTTAGAAAGTGACAATCTAATTATCAAGATCTAACAAAGGAGTGACTTAGGAACAATACCAGGATGCATTTCAAAGCTTCAGAACTTCTTGGGAACCGGATCTAACAGGTGTTTGGGAGCTGGCAAGGGTTTCATTCAGGTGTCTGAGGCCAATTCTCAGTCTCCCTTTTCCTTCTTAGAGAACAAAAGTCAACAAAGGTTGGCGGGAGGAAAAGGTCTAATGTCAATGCGTGTTTTATTATGGAGCCCATCAGAATTAGTTTTTGGGATTCTGACAAGGCATCTTCCTCGATATTAAACCTTCAAATTGCCTTGTGTTTTCCACAATGTCTCAAAGGATTCCAATTGTTTTTGCTTATTAATATATTAAAGAAGATTTCCTAATTGCTCTGTGCCTCAGTTTCCTCATTTGCACAGTGTAAATAATTATATCTCGCTCATAAGACTTTTGTGAGTATTGGGAGAGTCAATATTTTGAAAACGCCAGGCGCAGTGGCCCATGCACGCAATCCCAGCAGCTCAGGAGGGTGAGGTAGGAGGATGGGGAGAAAGCCAACCTCAGCAATTTAGTGAAACCCTAAGCAACTTAGTGAGACTCCGTCTCTAAATAGGGGATATGGCTCAGTCGTTTAGAGCCCCTGGGTTCAATCCCCAGTGCAGGAAGGAAGGAAGGAAGGAAGGAAGGAAGGAAGGAAGGAAGGAAGGAAGGAAGTCCTTAAAACAGTGCTTGACACAGATTTAAACCTATGTAAATGTTTGCTACTACTATTATCTTGTTCTGTAAATTTATTACTATCCTAAAATATGAATAAAAACACATTAACAGTGATAATTCAGGGTATGCTCTGGAAAATGGAGTCTGAAATACATATTTTTTAAATTTGTGATTTGTACCTTTGTTCATTTAATGTTTTATGTGGTGCTGGGGATTGAACCCAGTGTCTCACACATGCTAGGCAAGTGTTCTACCACTGAGGCACAACCCCAGCATTGGAGTCTGAAATCTTGAGACCCAAAATTCCAAACCTTTATTTCTGGTAGATTGAAGGTTGAAATCTTGAGACTCAGAATTCCAAACCTTTATTTTTGGTAGGTTGAAGATTGGTAGCACTAAATACAAGGGTCAGGGTAGTCCTCACCAAGAAGCTAAGACTGGAACAAAGTCACAGTGAATTACCTTGGTCTTGCTATAATCCTATTTTAAATATAATAGGCTACCCCTTCTCATTTTTCCATATAGGAGATTAAGACCCAGAGAAGTAATGTGATTTACTCTTCGTTCACACAGCAAACTAAGCTTGGTATTTCTTAAATACCAAGCACAGTGCTTTGCACATGGTAGACACTGAGGAGATATTTGTTGAATGGATGGATGGATGAATGAATGAATGAATGAATGAATTGAGCTCATAGCATGTGCCAGGAGTGTTTCATTTAACCTCTGTGACAATCTTATGATGTATTTACTGTTATTGCTTCTATTTTACAGAAAAGCAAACAGAGGCACACAGAGATGAATTGACTGCTTAAAGTCACATAGGTAGTAAGTGGTGGAGCTGGGGCACATCTGGTTCTGGAGTCTATCAGTGACTACTCAGCTCTGATATATAAAGGATGTCTGACAACTAGTGTCAAGAAGACCCTATATCCACCTATCTTTTATTCTGACATTCACATTTACCAACACAGGCCATAAATAGTAAGTTTTTAAACTACTGACATGTCATATTTTGCTAAGGTTCAGTTTAATGTTGTTTGTGCAGTGTATCACACTAACTCTGGAGACATCTGACAAACTCTGCCACTTAGTTGCTACATGTCCTTGAGCAGATTGCTTAATTTTTCTGTATTTCAGATTCATCATTGGTAAATTGGGAATAATTATAACACCTACTTTACAAAGTGGCTATGAGAATAAATTACTTAATATGTGTAAAGCGGGGCTGGGGTTGTGGCACAGTGGTAGAGTGCTTATCTAGCATGCATGAGGCACTGGGTTCAATCCTCAGCACCAAATAAAAACAAAATAATGTGTCCATCTAAAACTCAAAATAAATAAACAAATATTAAAAAATATGTGTAAAGTGATTAGAACAGTACTTGGTAAGTAGAAAATGTTCAATATGTCTTAACTATTAGTACTAAGTAGTCTTGTGTAAGTAACAAATTTTGATCCAAAATAGTCTTGGCTAGAATATAGAAATTATTACACAAGAAAAATCTATCCTTAGTGTTAGAATAATTGTTGAGTTGTTAGGGGTTAGTGACTGCAAAAGAGTTCAAGGCAGGTTTATGGGGAGTTAGCAATATTCTATTTCTTAAGAGATTTGTACACTGGTTTGTGAAAAATCATGGCAATGTATGCTTAAAATTGCACATTTTTTGTTTGTGTAAAACTTTAATACAAAATTTTATTTAAAAACAACTGAATTCAGCCTCATATTGCTTTCTCCAAATTTCTCTGTTCTTTTTCTTAAACTTTCCCATACTCCCACATAATTCAAGTAACATTTGCTGAGCATCCCAATGTGCCTGATATTGAGCTAGAAGTATTCACATTGACAAAATGTATTAAAGGAAATTATGGAAATTTTCATAAGGCATAACATATTTATTTAATCAAACATTTATACAACACAAGAGCCTTCAGAAATGAAGACCCAAAGACCCTGAGAAAACTATCTTTAGGCTTAGATTTCATAAAGCATAGACATAATATAGAAAACTGGACCAAAAGATAGAAGCTAAGGGTAATAGACTGAGAGAAACATAGCAGGTCTGTCTGTTTACTTCTTCCTGACTTCTCTGTATGACATTACTTCTTTCTGGGCAGAACTTTCTGGAATGAAGGCCTCATGATTTACTATCTCACAAACTAGATCACATGATGTCCTTATAGCAAGCTCCCATTGAGTTTATTTCTCCTAAAAAATAGGTGATTTTTTTTGTTTAATTGTTTGCTATCACCATCTATCCCCACCCACATTTTTATTTGCACATTTTAGTTGTACATGCATACAATATAACAATATTATTTGGTTAGTATCATTTCCCAGCATGTCCCCTTTTCCTTTCTTCCTCCCAATCCCTGGTATCTTTCCTCTATTCTACTGATTTCCCTTTGATTTTTTTAAAAAAAATTAAATTTGTTCTAATTAGTTATACATGACAGTAGAATGTTTTTTGACACATTGTACACAAATGGAGCACAACTTCTCATTCCTCTGGCTGTACATGGTGCAGACTCACACCACTAGTGTAATCATATGTGTATATAGGGTAATAAGTCTGTCTCATTCTACCATCCTTCTCATCCCTACATCCCCATTCCTCCCCTCTCTCCCCTCTGTACAATCTAAAGTTCCTTCATTCTTCCCTACACCCCCACACTATGGATCAGCATCCACTTACCAGAGAAAACATTTGGCCTTTGGTTTGCAGGATTGGCTTATTTCACTTAGCATGATATTCTCTAGTTCCGTCCATTTACCTGAAAATGCCATAATTTCATTCTTCTTTAAGGCTCTGTAATATTCCATTGTGTATATGCCCCACATTTTCTTTATCCATTCATCTGTTGAAGGGCATCTAGGTTGGTTCCACAGTTTAGTTATTGTGAATTGAGCTACTATAAACACTGATGTGCATATGTCCCTGTAGTATGCTGTTTTTAAGTCCTTTGGGTATAAACTGAAGAGTGGGATAGCTGGGTCAAATGGTGGTTCCATTCCCGGTTTTCTGAGGAATCTCCATACTGCTTTCCATAGTGATGCACCAATTTGCAGTCGCACCAGCAATGTATGAGTGTACCTTTTCTTCCACATTGTCACCAACACTTACTATTACTTATATTCTTGATAATTGCCATTCTGACTGGAGTGAGATGAAATCTTAGAGTAGTTTTGGCTTGCATTTCTCTAATTGCTAGAGATGTTGAACATTTTTTCATGTTTGTTGATTGATTGTATTTCTTCTTCTGTAAAGTGTCTGTTCATTTCCTTAG